GGGTCCTGGGATCAAGCCCCACATCGGGCTCCCTGCTTGGCCAGAAGCCTGCTTCTCCCTCTCCCACTCCCACTGCTTGTGTTCCCTCTCATGCTCTATTAAATAAATAAATAAAATCTTTAAAAAAAAAGAGAGAGATCCATGACTTTTATGTTCTGGAATATGCCCACTTATCTTCACTCAGTCAATGGTCTATTAAATGGAAAGGAATCCCTGTGCCCTCTAATGGTCCCTGCCACAAAGAGGGAGGGGGGAAAAGGCTCCCTAAACTGTTTACCACCCTCCACATGCTGCCATCCAGGAAGGTGACTGGTTATATGTAACTTGTTGGAGAAGCAAACCATTCTTTGACATTTTTTCACAAGTCACCTTAATGTTTTAATTAGTAGCTAATGAAATAAATAGTACAGGATCACCATCATGTCGGCATAAGAAATTTACATCTCCTCTGCTAATTACTTAATGAAGCTTTGTGCCATGGGGTGAGCTGCCTAAATAAGAGAAACAGATGTCCAGGGCAGGGATTCTAATTGCTTAATAATGAACTAAATAATTCAACTATTCAATTATAATTTTATGTGAATTTAAAAAGGACTACCAGAAAGAAAAGATCCAAATGTGGTCAACACTAAAGGAATCCTCATCTACTGTCCATATTTGAATAAATTAAACTTTGATTATTTACTTTTTGCCTGCAAACATCATTCCTGTCACCGTGATGCATTTTTAACTTCCTCAACAATGATGGAAAACACCCAACAGTCTACTTGCTAAATCTGAACTTGGGCAGTAAGGGTTAAACATGGAGAGAAAGGTGAACAGAAATAATTCTTACATGCAGCTTTAACTGTCAGAAGAAACAGGTCCTTGCAAGGAGCATGCTCATTAGCAGCAGGAGGAGCTGTAGTGGCAAGCTAGAAACTGTTTCCACCCCAGGAGTTAAGAGTGACTTCTAATTAAGGTCCTTCATAAAGGGCCAACAAAGCACATTTTTTTCCAGTATGCTTTTTCTTGAGAATATAAATCTAGCCTGCATATACCCACGCAAGAGCTGCCACACTCCCATGCTGGGTGCGCAGTGCTTGGTACTCACCAGATGCCCTCTTTCTCTGCCTATGTTTAATAGAATGAGAAAGATACCACATCAGATCTTCTAAATCAAAGGAAAGTTTGATCAAGAATCAATCTCATGTGATCACATGAGAAAGGAAAATCTTAAGACAAAGTACTTTAACCTATCAGCTCCTTAGGTTTGAAGGAAACCACTTCTTAATTTGTGACAGAGAAACAAGTACAGAGATTTTAAAAACACCCATCTTCTGAGGAGAGAAATTCTTCTAATTGTACTTTCCTAGCCAATCGCAGAAAACAGTGGTAAGACTTTCAATTTAGGAACACAGTTTAACTGGAAAGCTTGACTGGAGACAACAAACAGAGCTACTTCTTTTAAAATTCTGTTTTGTCTCTGATAGAAATTCACGTTTGTTCCTTACTGTCACTGTTTTTGTCTTTATTACTCATGTTCTCTCCTGAAAATATCCAAATAAACTGTGTCAGGCCTGTCAGAGTTGAATCCCAATCTCTCTTATCTCCCATCACTGTGCAGCGG